AGGACTCCGGCTGTGGGCGGTCAGCGGGAGGCGTTGTGCTGCCCCGCCGCTGACCGGCCGCCTGCGCGCTGCCACTGCCTGGCCCTGCCACTTCTGCAGCCAGTCACAGAGTCCTCCCTCCGCTGGGCACCGCCCACGCCAGGCACCTTGCAATGCGGCTGCTAAGCCTGGCTATTTTTAGATCTCGAGAATACATTGTGCCAGAGCTCAGCTCAAACCACCAAACACACTGATGTGCCTCCCTTTGATCAAAGATGGCTCAGAACTCCATATTTCCCCGAATAAAGTCGATTATCTTCGACTTTTTAAAGTCCTACCCCCTGTGGTCTGACAGTTGGCTGCAAAGCAGAAAGCCACAAGCTCCCACCTCAAAGAGGTCATCACCTTTCTAAGAAGTGCACTAACTCTCATGGCCCTGATTAAAGGCGGGCAGATATTCCTTAGCAGCAATCATAACTATATGCTTCTCATTTCCACTCAACATCCTTAGAATTAATTCCACAATTAGGTCAAACAATCCCCAAAAGGGCATGAAGATTTCTGCGGATTTCTGTATGTACTAGGTTAACTTGTGTTAAGATACCAATGAACACAAAAACAAGGTAACAAAGCCACCCATTAAAATGTGGAGACACTGAAGAACTACCTTCCATGCCCCATCGCTGTAGGCCATGTTTAACTGTTAGAAGCATTAGTATTAAAACAACTGGCCAGTATTATAGCTGTCTTTTTACCAAGTAACTTTTTAAAAGACATCTTATCTCATGTTACCCATTTCACCACCTCCACCCAGCACCCATCCAAATGCAACATATTATAGCGTGTTTTACTTACTCTAATTAAAGAAATGCTAAGTCATAAAAAGACAGAGCGGGAAAAGGGTATCAATATTCTCAAGCCACAACAGCCTTCCAGAGATACAGACCCATAGACATAAATTAGATAGTTATACTGCCTATATCTCTTTCATATGTTCTCTAGCCACATTGGAAAATAAAACTTTTGGCTTCACCTCTCCATTTAAAAAAAAAGTCAAAATCTTAAAATGCTAAACGGGCTTGAACTGTGTATATGTAGTTTATGGATAGGAAGACCATCTGTGAACTTGTAATGTACTCATCTTATATATTACTTACTATTTAAGTTGTTTCTTACTTTTCATAATAAACTACATAAAATCAAATTAAAATTTCCTTTTTCCAAATAAGAAAATAATTTTAATTTTAAAAATAAGCACAGAGTACTAGTAGTGGAAATTTAGTGTTTAAGAAGAATTAAAGAAAAGCCACTTTGGGGAAAAATTACTTTGACTGTAAATATAATAAATTTATCTCATTACTATGCACATTAATTTTAACTTCACTAGGAGGCTAATACTGGTGAATATATCCATAACAATAATGTAAGGATATTGCAGAAGTTTTCCTATATATCTTTTTTACCTCTCTACAACTTCCATTTTTGTTGATTTGAATTTTTCTGTATGACTGTGTTTTTATCTTAGATCCTTTATAATTCTATTACTGGGTGAATTTTCTTTATTATTTTTCTGGTATAAAGTAGGACAAGGAAAATAAGTTGGTTATATCTTTATATTTACTTTTACAGGTGTCATTTTATCAGCCTATTTCTAAGTATCTCCTGAAAAGATTCTAGATGTCAAAACGTGCAGTTAACATTCCTATTTAGAAATACACAAAATAATACCTTTGACGTTGGAACTCAGATATATTATTCAGCAAAACAGCAATTACTCATTGTTTTGCACTTACATGTTAAGAACTATGCGACACTTGGTGACACAATAACAAAATTGCAAAGTCAATTATATTTAAAATAGACATCCTAATAAAATATACACAACCAACTCCTTTTACTCTTTTTTAACTGTTTTGTTTCCTTTTTCTGACTGTTTAGAGTCAAATAGATTCTGTGAATGTTAAACCTAAGCATAATAACTGGTACACACACATCATGGGAAAAGTTAGAAAATGGGGAGTGGGTGTATATAAAGCAAGGTGTATTCCTGAGGGCAGCAGAATCCACCTATGGAGGTGCCAGAATATTTTTGGAAATGTACATGTATGATGTTCTTTTGCAATGTCAATCATACTGGCAAACTTTAAAGCAAAATTTAAGCTAGATTTATATGAAACATTCTAAGCAGCACCAAAGCAACACAACACAAGTAGAATCTCTTTAGATTTAAGAAAGGAGGATTTAAGATGGGAGCAGTTGTTTGTTTTATTCTATTTTAATTGCACAAGAAGCATTTTTGTAACTTGAACTTCCCAGTAATTAATTCTACTTCTCAACCCAGCCTGCAGCCTGAATTGAAGCTCCCATCAGAAAATTAAAATGTTTGTCTGGATAAAATAACTTCTAAATGAACTCTCTATTTCTTTTCGGTTCTTTTTGTATTTCTGCAATGTAGCCCCTCGCAATGATATTAGTTCTAGTGTGGGAAAATATTATAATTGAGATCTGGTAAGTTATTTGCAGACTTCAAGTTTTTCTTTACACTGTGCTGACATTTAGTACAGCCCTGGTGAGGAAAACAATACCACCATTCATAGCTCTAGACGTAGATTTCAATCGACTTAAGCGGGCACAATGAAACTTGGTCATTCACTGGTTACCCATATTGTGTTCTCAAATTTTCTCTCAGCAAAAGTATAATGACTCAGTATTGTATGGTTGCATAGACAAGGGCTTGGAACAAGAGACACTAGTTTTGTCTGACGGTGTGAGAAAGTCGTGAAGGGATCTTTTCTTCCAGATGGTGTTAAATTCAGCTGCCTTTTTAACATTGGCCTTGCACAAGCAATCTGCTGCTCCCCTTTCACAAAGACTGTGCTCGGTTCCCACTAGTTAACATGCATACTCACGCAACCTGCAACTTCACTCCAACTGTTTTACAATGCAGTGGTATGCTAAATAAACTTGATCCAGTTTCTGCCAATGTTAAAACTAGCTTTCAACGAACTACTTAACTGATATTTACACTTCTTTTGACTTAAATGTGCATGCCTTTGGAATATTTCAGATTTCAAAGACATATCACCTTATTATAAGGTCATTGTAGAGACTACCTCAGACACCCTTCAGACCTATGCTCAGATACAGTACCTCTCTTAAACACACAGAAATAAAACAAAATGTCAAAAGTTTGATGTGTAATAGAAAAAAGAAAACTTGGGACATGTTGCAGCAAGAGCAGTGAAACAGCAAAAAATAAAATGAAAATAATAACATTGAAATGCATTTTTATTGATCGATAAGTCATGTAACATTAGTATGATACAAAGCAAGTTTGATATGACAATGGCAAACACATAATCATAATATTGTTTATTTTACTTAAATGTTATATTTAACATATTTACATGAAAGACCAAGATGTAGGCAAAAGCTTCAGTAATTTGACTCCATTGAGTGCTTTCAGTAAACAATAGGTTTCCCCAGCAAACATCTTATTGCCTTAATTGAACCTCCTTGAGAAAGAAAACCACACACTTTGTAATGTAAATGTTAATTGTAGTAGACAATGGGTCTAGGTAAATAGCACCCCTGGACATGAAATAAATGAAAGGAATACAGGCACTTAACAATGAAAGGTTGTTTGCACAAACAGTGCTTCAAATGTAAATAAACAAGGGTCTTCTCAACAGTCACCACAGTCATAAAACTTTGGCACGTGTTCCAAAGCCAAATTGAGAATTTACCTTAATAAAGTCTCCCAGAGTTTCTAACTGAAACTATCAATGGTTTTACAGGCTTCTCCAGTTTGAAGTCTTAAAAGGAGTTGAAGCTACAAAGGCAAGTGGAATGCTTTTGAAGAAATATTGCATAGTTGGGATTGAGGATTGTCAGTAATCTAGGCCACGTGGAAGATAACAGGCCAGTTTGGGCACTTTCTTATTGCAATGTTTGTATTTATGTTTAAATGCCTATACAAATGTTTGCTTGGTGACATGTGGGAAAATTGAGGACATTTTTGAAAAATACTACTATGGGGACCTTCAGAGAACCAAAGTTTCTGCTAAGCATAGTCACTTTTAGATTAAATAAAAATGGCTGTTTAGGACGTATCTAGCTGAGACTATACCAGAAGAAACTTTTATCATATTGTCAGTGATTAACTTTCTACAGGTTGATGATTTTATAGTTTTCATGCCAGTGTGTCTACTAGCATAATTCAGCCAAGTTTCTAGATATATTATATAAGAAGTAAACAATCTGATGAAGTGATGATAATGTCTGATATATATATAGAGAGAGAGATTTTCAAATATAACTGACCCAAAGCAAAAGCCCAAAGGTGGTCACAAGACCAAAAGTATGGACTGAGAATTGGACATGAAGGGCAGGCAGCAATGGAGCTTTCTTGGGACTGCTTTCTACAAGCTTTCCTTAAATATTGGAAACCTCAACCAAAGAAGGGAGCCAAACTTAATTGTGGCCAGTTTAAACAGTGGTTATAAAATTAACAGAAACAGACAGTATGCAGCAGCAACAGACCAGTTGGTGCTGCCATTTGGGAGGCTGCAGATGGCTGTGGGTGGGAAATGCCTCTACTTTTCTAAGCGATGGAGATGAGTATGGTGTGCACTTGATGCTTTTTTTTATACCCCTCCCCCCGACAGGGCTGCCTGTCATAGGCTGCAGGGCCCGCTTTACCACTTGCCCCCCGAGCGTGGGAATCCGAGCGTCCTGCCGTTCACATCTCCTGCGTTCCGTTTAGCCGAATCAATTAGGCAAGACAGACCCTCAGATTCCCCACCCCCTTCCCATTTTTGTCAGGTCTATATACGTCCTAATTATTTCAGTTTGGGATGCCAGAGCTGTTTCCTGGATAGACCTGATCATCCTTAAACAAAAAGAGAGGAGGCGCACACGTGGGTTGTGGCGTAAATGTCACTTTCATTTCCAATGCTAGGCGCAGAGTAAGACAGAACATTTTTTTAACACTTTGACAAGAGGGGAGGCGATCTCGTCTCCATCATGTCTTTCTGCTTCAGTAGCTTCCTCAAGGAAACCCTCTTGGAACAGAGAAGCATCTGTCCTTGTATTTTGAATAGAAGAATAAAAATCAGCCTTTGCTTTTTTTTCTTTTTTTTTGCATTTTCCCTACTAGCTCTATGTCCTCAGTAGACATAAATCATTAACCTTCCAGTATAAACTTTGCTGAAAGTCCAATTTCATATGATCAGATATAAACCCCAAATACATGTAGTTTCCAAGCATAATCTTAAAATTTTTCAGAGGAGGGGGCCTCAGAAGAGAACAGCCTCAGTCTACATACTATGAAATCATTTTTTTAAACTGGGTACCAGTCACCTCTACAGCAGCTTTCTAAGAAAGGAAAAATAACTCATATTTAAACTTTTGCCTTGAAGTAGGACAAACTGTGCATGCCTCTTACCTCATTAGCACTATACAATTCTCCTTATTAACAACCCCTCTCAAAGTACCTGGCACCTTCATATTTTGGCAAATGTGTGCCCCTTAATTTCCTCTAATCCCACCTTTACTCATAAGGAAAACAAAAACGAAAACAAAGTTAGATTCAATAAATATTCCTGACCTTACTGGTTTTTACTGTCTCTTGGTTGTAGTCTTTCATTCTCACACGCTCCCCGGCGATCTTGAAGGAGTTTTTACTTTCGGTTATCTAGCTTTATGAAGACCAATACACTCATACAGCTAGATAACCAAAGATAACAACTCGCTTCCCTCACAGCCTCTGTCTTCCTCTGGCCAGACTCCACATCCCGATCTTTCTGGCAGCACCGAAGAGCAGTAGTCCTCCAGGACACTCGCCGCGCTCAGATTCCTCCTTGCATGTAAATATGACCTGGTTTCTGTTTGTGTGTGCGCGGCTAAAACATCCAAACGAGATCTGTTGCTTTGAAAGTTTATTCCGAACTTTTTTTTCCCCCTTTCAGCAAGTAATCTCCGGCAGCGTCGGCCAACAATTCATCTATTAATATCAGAAAATAAAACCAGCTATTAAGGTGCACCAAGCGGTTACGAGTGAGCAGCAGCATCCGTCCCTTCGGAGGCCTCTATTTGCATTGTAAATTGCTTCATTCTCACGCAAGACTCCTTAGCCTCCCTCTACAGAGACGTAGGAAGCCAACAGCAATTTCCAGCGCAGGTTAAGGAGGAAGGAGAAAAAAAAACACACAAAAAAATAAAAAATAGAAAAACACATCCCATTCTATAGAAGTGACAGCTGATTCAAAAAAGATCTGCTCCTGATCCTTTTGGGGTAAGCACCATGAGCTTTTTACCAAGCGGTGGCAGCTTGATTGCAATATCTTGTGTGTGTGTGTTTTTTGGGGGGAAGATCCTCGATCTCACAGGGCTTCTAGGCTGGGAAAGAGAAGATGCCGTCTTGCTGGCGTGCTGCTGCCCCCGGTCTGAAAGAAGGAGAAAAGGACCATCATTGGAAGGGCTTTCACTGCCAAAATGTGGACCAGCCCGGCAAGGTCAAAGGTTTGAGACCGCTGGAGACCAAGGTAATGATGATGTCATGAGAAATCTCAAGTACATGGTTATTGATATGCATCAGTGATCAGCCGACTGCCCCAGGCCTGCTGCCCGAGCAGAGCAGCGGCAGAGGCAGCAGCAGCAGCGGCAGCATTGCAACAAGCCCTATTTTCTCAAGCAACATCTCTTCCGTTAGCACTGCCGCCTGCTCCTGGAAAAGCAACCCGCGGCCTTTTACCTCCTCCGTGCTAGTGTCGATCGCTCTAATATCCAAAGACTGGAAGAAATCTCTCTCTGAGGACAGATAAAAGCATTTCAGATCTGGGGAGCGTCTTTGCCTGAATTTCTCCTATGGCAGACTGCACGGGCAGACAGATGGAAGGCACTTTGCTATTGCTTAAAGCAGGGCCTTGCTTTCTGGGGCTGGGAATCAGCTCTGTATTAGGCAGTGAGTCTACGTGTGATTGCATGGACAGTTTGCTCTGGTGGTGCGTTTTTAATGGCTTTCACAGCTCAGGCATGTTATGTGTTTATGTGCCATGGTGATAGGGTAGTGTTTGTTCTGTAAGTTCAAAATGAATGCTCTAAGCAAGCCAACTTCATCCCAATTTTTATAAAATAACTCTCTATAGGGTGTGTGCCTTAGAATGAAGAACAGGTAAACACTGCAGCAATAGTTTCTAATGTCGTACACAACTCTACTGCAATAAATGTTGAGCCTTTGTCTATAGTTTCAAACATCAACTTTTATACAGAAGGTCAAAATATACTAGGCTCCCTTATGAAATTATGAAAAAAGGGAATGTTACTTCAGTGAAGAAGACGTAAGATACCTGCATGTTAAGAGCAGAACCCTTTCCTCTTCCCCACCCCCACCTTTTTTCTATCTCGAGGGGGAATACTTTATTAACTAATTAGCCTCATACCTTTTCTTAGGACTTTTCAAAGTGTAAATATGATCACTTAAGAGAGCTCTCTTCTTTTCTCTCCTTCATAATGAGTAATCTATGTCTAATGCATCTATAATATGTACAGTTCTAACAGATGCCCCTCAACAGAATATCTAAGGTGCAGTCCATATAAGATGTATACTCACAATGGGTAAGTTTGATGGACTATTTCTCATAATGACGAGTTATATTTGGTGGTATTACTATTCTTTAAAATATATGCTACAATTGTATGTCATAAATCTCCATATTCATTTCACACATCACTAGTTTATCGCAATACTCTCATTTCTATAGGTTAACTATTTTCCCCAATCACTAAAATACTTTCAGAATTAAAATACACTTTTTCATTGATTCAGGAATTTATTCATTTAAGACATGAGTGGAATATGCTTACCAAATTACATACAGAGCATACATATGTAAATTCTATAGAAATGACTGACAAGTAAAGAAAATCAGAATTGCTAAGAAAAGCCCCCAATCAAGAGTACAAACAACAACATTCTACCAATTAAAGATATGATTTAGTAACACAAATGCCAATTTTTCCCTAATTTTTGTATTAATTTACTTTTTGGTGAGCATTCTTGTCCTGATTATTGAAAAAATACTACACTGTGAAAATCACTTATCTATTTTTCTTATCAAATTCTGGTCCAGGAAGTACAATAAGAAATGGCTGCATTGTGAGATATATATATATCAAACTACAAACTAATTCAGAGAAATATACTCCTATAGAGTTACTGTTTCTTCTTGAACTAAGAGGTCACAACATAAACTACTGGATAAAAATTGAACATATCACTGAGGTATGTGTTCATGTCACTTCTGACATTATGTAAAATCCTAATGAGCTTTGCTGCCTTGGAAGATTGAAATCATTGTGGCCTTGCTTTCCAAGACCTAGAAACAGAATCATTAGTGAATTGGCATGTACTACATAGAACAAGCATACAATTAGATGAATTCAATTCCTTAAGTAAAAACCCCAGGAAATGCCAGTTATTTTTAGAATATCTTTTTGCTCTATATATGTCTTGGAAGGATGTTGGTGAAAATAAAGAGATCTGATGCATAAATGCATATATGTCTGTGTATATCACCCCCATATTTGTGTGAATTTGCAAATTAATGTTGCTATATTTCCATATTTAACAATTAAATGCATTTTAGAACCCAATTAACTATCATGAAAACCAAGACACTAAACATTTGAGTTGCTTCTACAATTAGAAGCTACAAAAGATACTGTCTTAAAATAGCATCTTTTAAGGCAGTCCCACATAGTAATATCAACTGACTCCAGGACCGGCCTCCATGCCTCATACATGTAACATAGATTCATTATGAGAGCCCGAAAAGTGAAAATAGTCAACATAATGATTATGGCCAGTCTGTTCATTAACCAAACAGCCAATTAAATATTTTACTTCAACCATCATCTTTCAAAGTATGAAAACAAAAGATATATAGCAAGATTTAACACTGAGTACCTTATCATTTTGATAATTGTCAAGGTTCGTATCATAGTTTATCATACACATTTCAAGGACATGTTGAAATGTATACGAGACAAGTGGAAACAACTGTGCTCTAAAGATTCCTAGCAATGTCTACCATACATTGTTAGGAGCAGTTATTAACACTTACATGTTCTTATTCCAGATATTTTTGCTTTTCCAAAAGCTATTTAGCTGAGCTACAGAAAACCCGTTTTGAAATCTGCATATTGAAGAATATACTGAATTCAAATGGCTTGCATGCTCCTTCTCTAATAAATTCCCATTAATGGCCAGTAGATTAGGACGTGATTGTCATGCTTGTTTTCTAATCTTTTTACAGGTCTCCAGATGGCTGAAACATGAATGGAAACATCCTGGTTTTCTTTGGAATAAACAATCTCTGCTTAAGTTAAAAGTGAAAATTTATGATTTTCCACATATTTGGATCAGAACTATGCTATTCCGTAAATGAAAATTCATCAGGTTTGCCACTAATATTTAGAACACCTCTATGAATCCTATTCAGATTACTGCAGAATATATAAAGAATTGGCCTATCACCAAAATCCTTTTTAATATTGAGTCTGGATGATTCTCATGCATATAAAACACAGTCTACTAATATAGTCAAGACTACCATTTTCTACATAAAAGCCATTTAATTTACAGTGATTTGTATAGTTCAGGCAAGGTACTTGACTGGCTTGCTTTCTAATAAAAGTATCCTATTATTTCTTCTGTGTCCCAAATTCCTTTTTTATAGGAAGTTACAGGCTATATTTACATTATCTTTGATATGTAATATACAAAGGCTACCTGGGGAGGGGGGGGGAGGGAGACAATTGCATATATGGAAACTTGGATTTTTCTGGAATTGTATCTATTGCATGAACTGGGAGATATGCAATATACTGCAGGCTTGCCACTCAGTAAATAATATTTTATACATCACTTTAATTTTGTCAAATGTAAAATTTAAAATTACCTTTGGTTGGTGGGATGTCTATTCATGTTATACTTCTTTGTAGAGTCATCTGGAAAACAGTCAAGAAAACAAATTATCATAGTTTTAATATATACATAAGCATGTCTATATTTGGCTTCATTTAAAGTACTGCAATTACAATGATTCCTTAAAATGACAAGAGATTCCAGAAAACCCCAATACAATGTATGCTGGTCTTCAGCACCTACAGAGTTAAATATGCTAATTTGCATTTAAATGGAGACATGCATGATAATGGGAATGCAAAATATGCAGAATCTGGAGGTGTTTGGAAATTAATTTTTTCTTTCTTCTTTTATTTTATTTTTAGCTTGGAGGGAAGAGGGATTCTCAAAAAATACTAGGGATTTGAACACTGTAATCTGCCATACAAAAGAGGAGGGAGAGTTCTTCCATGCAAGAATATTAAGACTGGAACAAAGTCATATTTTCTAAATGTTTAAGGAACTAAATTTCCAAACCTTTCAAACAATGGGAATCCCTGGATAAATATCCAATCCATTAGAAAGATGCAAATAGTTTACTGTAAGGCAACAGCACGGTGAGACGTGCATTCATATCTATGGCTCCTGATTGGCTATTTCCTCCACTAAATCAATGAATAATGTAAAACCTGATTGCTGTAAAGTGGTGGATTTTCTTATTCCCTTCCCCCACCCCCCATGTCTCAATATATTCAAGAAGTCTTACACTCCTGAAAATAGCTTGCTTTTCTCTTATGATTTTTAAATGCTTATTGTTATTTTGGAGTGGCGGGGTGGGGCTATTGGTTTTGCAAAATGAAAGTACTGCACTGGTTCAATAATCCTGACTATGGGAGCTTGTTTCCCGAGACAGCGCCCTGATGACTGGCACCCAGGTGCAGAAGGAGGGTGGTGGGCAGAGGTGGGCATGAGGAGAGGGAGGAAACCAGAGCCGACCCCACTGTTGTGGGCCCAAGCCGGCCACTGGTCCCACAGAGCCCCCCGCAGTGGCCGTGACTTGACAGGCCTCCGGTCTAACTTCGGATCCATCTCACTGCTGCCCTGACCCCTCGAGACAGTCCTCCATGCCAGCACTGCGGACACCTTTGCAAGAGAAAACGCCACCGTCTCCAAAGCAAATGCATCGCCTGGGTTCCCACCGCCCCGGGTTCTTCAGATGAATCCAGGCCCCGGAAGGAAGGTCTTGCCTCCCTCTGCGGAGTCTGGATTCCACGCAAACCGCAAAACCCAGGTTCCGCGGGCCTTCCAAGCTCCAGTCACACCGAGATGGTTGCATCTTGATGAATCTTAACTTGGGATGACCCTGTAAAGCGGCCTCTTGCCTCCCAGAATCCAAAACGCAAAGAAGGAAGTAGAAACCCACCAGGTCTAGTTAGCTACTGTGGATAAGTTTCCACCAAAATCCAATCAAACCCTCTCCTCGTTGCCAGGTAATTGCCACTTTGAGGGGGTTAAAATAATTATTCCAAGT